ATTTTTTAAAGAGATGATATGTATAAGCCTATATAATACATAGTGTATATTTTGATTTTTTTCTAACAATTTCTATATATTCGTATATAAAGTCTCTTTTAAAATATACAGAGCCTTTAACCCCAAATTCTACTTCTTAGCACATGTTATAAGGAAGCAATCAGAGATGTTGCTAAGGTATTAGATGCAAGGATATTCCACGGCACTATTTATAAGAATAATAAATCACCAACTATTCAATAATAGGCTTTTGTCAAATAAAATATAATCATGTCATGATACCATGTAGACAATAAAAACTATGCCATTAAAAAAAAAAGTAAATAAGGGCTGGGCACAGTGGCTCATGGCTGTAATCCAGCCCTTCAGGAGGCTGAAGCTGAAGGATCACTAGGGGCCAAGTGCTTGAGACCAGGCAGGGCAACACAGTGAAACCCTGACTCTAAAAGACATTTTGACACATTAGCCAGGTATGGTGGCATAAACCAGTAGTCCCAGCTACTTGGGAGGTTGAGTGGGGAGGATCACTTGAGCCCAAGAGACAGAGGTTGCAGTGAGCTGTGATCATATCAGTGTACTCCAGCCTGGGTGACAGAGTGAGACCCTGCCTCAAAAAAAAAAAAGGTGTGAGGTCAGGGAGCTGGCAGCTCATGCCTGTAATCCTAGCTCCTAACACCCTGGTAAACTAAGCTGGGAAGATCACATGAATTCAGGTATTGATCAGCTTGAGCTGGAGCGGGAGTCCCACCTCTACCAAAAACGTTTTCTAGTTCTAGTTCTAGAAAAACTAGCCTAGGCATTGTGGAATGTGCCTGCAGTCCCAGCTGCCTGGGAGGCTGAGGCAGGAGGATGGCTTGAACCCAGCATTTGAGGTTGCTGTGAGCTAGGCTGAGGCCACAGCACAGGTAAGACTGTGTTTCAAAAAAATAAATAAATAAATGACATGGTAGATATCCATGACAAAGTTATAAAGGCAGGTTAGCAAATAACGTCTGTGTGCACATGTCTGCATAAATTTTGGCCTTTTTTTTCTTTTTTTTTTTTTTTTGCCATGAAAGAACAGGAGAAAATGTACCAAACTGTTAGTAACCATTATCTCTGAATGGTAAATAGTGAGCGTTAAAGAGTTTTTTACTTAATTTTTGGGGTTTTGCAAAATTTTCCCAAGTTTTTGTGACTGGAGGATCAAGGCAAAAGCTGTGATTAATGCTCTAATTCAACAAACTGCCTAAGCCAGAGGTTCTCAACCTGTGGGTCACGACCCCTTTGGGGATCAAACGACCCTTTCACAGGGGTCACCTAATATCAGATATTCACATTACGATTCATAACAGTAGCAAAATTACAGTTATGAAGTAGCAATGAAAATAATTTTATGGTTGGGGGTCACCACAACATAAGGAACTATATTAAAGGGACGTGGCATTAGGAAGGTTGAGAACCACTTGTCTAAGCCCTTCCTTTCTGTAAATGCCCAAGCTGGAATCAAAACCGCTTTTTATCACAAACCAATCTCATAATTTTACCCCATCAATTGTCTGAACGGAACATACATCACGCACTTGCCCTGTTTCTGGCTAGAGCAATATTTTACGCTCTTTTTTAATTAATTAATTTGAATCATGAGCACTTCAAATGTGACTATTTTATGGAGCTGAAATTTACATTTATCTCCTTTTGTAAAGCCCATTTAGGAAATTAACAAGCAAACAGCAACACGCAGGGAAGTGACGGAGGCTACTCCATAGGTCATGTATAGGGACTAGGTAACTGACCTCGGAGGAGTCTCCTGAGCATCAAATAAGATTGTTTTGTAAGGAGCGCTGGAAAAAATAAAATGTTATATAAGCCATAGTAAAATACTATCATTAACATAAAAAGTTCGGCTGTTTTGTGACTTCCACACAGGATTTCTTAACTCCAGTGAGGTCATTCCTGTCTGGGCACCAAGGATCTGCACACACTGACCCCCAGCGCAAAGAAAGCTCTGCAGTGTCCAGCATCTCTCTGGGCCAAGGGTCTCTAACTTCCCCTGCGTGATCCTTGAGCCCAGACGGGTTAGAAACACAGCTCACAGAAGGTAATTCCACACAGCTGGTGCCGAAGAGTTTTATCTAGTCATCAAAGCAGGTCTATCGAGATCTCTATACTTAAAACCTAACAGAAACATCTTGTGGTCAATTGGCCATCCCTGAATAGCCTAGAAATCTCATTCCGGAACAGAACGTCTTTGGACTAACTCTTCACAACCTCCACCCCCAGGACCTGGTCTCTCCAGACAGAAAGGAACACTGGGCGCGGGACTTTAAAAGGGGCTCTTTCTTGCCACCAGGGCTGTGCGATATTGCGAAACAGATCATTTCTTCCATTTGGAAAGATATATGTAATCCAACTCCTTGCTGATTCATACCGCCCTTTTCCACAATCTATCTGAATTTGTGAGGTTCTGCCTAAATGTTTAAGATATTTTGATTAAAAGAGCAAACAGCAGCAATGATAACAAGACCTTGGGCGCCAAGGCAGGCCTGAGCAGGAAGGGACACATAAACTCCCCTCCTCCTGCTAACAGAGGCTTTCACAGCTACCTAAACCTGTGGCTTGAAATTAACTCGCTCAGTTAATAATTCAAACCCATGGGCCGGACAAGTTTGAACGTTTCGATGTTGGTTTACAATTAACCCAGTGACAGTGTTTTAAGGTGTTTGATTTTTAATTAGTCTATTGATTTACCAGTCTGGTTAACAATACTTTATTCCTACATCCTGTATTCTGTCTTCTGTTCTTGTTAAGAAAGGAAGAGTGGAGATTATTACACTGCCTCCTTCCTCCTCTGAACCATCCAGACTATGGGCCCCCTTCCTTCCCCAGGAACACAGGAGACGGAGTTAAGAACACAAGGGATGAAGCCTGAACACTTGGATTCTGTGGGACTTTGAGCAAGTAAAGTAACCTCTCTGTGCCTCTTCGTCTTCATCTGTAAAATGGGGTGATGGCACTTACTCACGGGAATGGTGTAACCACTAAATGAGAGGATTCTCAAAAAACCCTAAGACCAGAGAAAGGGGTGCTAGGCCTCTCTTTTCCTTTCCTTAGTGGTTCGGAGCTGTCAAATTTCTTAACATGAACGTGTCAGTTACCATCCTTTACAAAACTAAGAGCAGCTGAGAAAGTGGTGTGTGCACCATGCAATACTTTCTAGGAACAAAATCAGAACGCATTATTTAATTTTATGAGGGTCCCTTTCCCTGGCAGATTTAGGCCTATCTGTTAAATAAGGTCTGTCCAAGCTTCTTTCTTTTCAGGAGAAGAAACAGCCTCAAAGACATCAAGATCCTTCCCAAGGTAGTTCAGCTGCTGAGAATCCACGATCTCTGAACTCCAAATGACCACCCCTCTCACTTCTCTCCGCACTGTAGGTTAATGGGTGGTGTGAGGAGGGAACAGCATGTGTCCAGTGATCCCTGGGGCAATTCTGACACAGCCGACAGGGTGGCAAGATCTTGGCTTGCTGCAGGGAGGACTGTGATATCACCCTTGACAAATTAAGTAAAAATGGTACAATGAGCTCCCTGTCATTCCCACCACCAGAAGCAAACAGTGCTACCAACCCACCACCAGATCAAACAGGTAGGTCTGAGAACTAGCTTCACCAAGCAACTCTGAGATGCCACCCAAGTTGGAAATCCTTGATAGGGAAAATCCCACTGGTAGGCCAGTATGAAATCCTTTCTGCTCTATGGACTCCAGAGGGGAAGGCTGACCTACCATGATAGGCCACATCCCAGTTTCTTCATGGATATTGCTCCTTTTTTCTATAATGTTTGTCCCTGCCTTGTCTCTGTAGCAAACTCCTATTCACCCTTCAAAGCCTGGTTAGAAAACAACTCCTCTTAAAAGTCTTTTTTTTTTTTTGAGACAGAGTCTCACTGTGTCACCCTTGGTAGACTGCCATGGTCGTGGTGTCACAGCTCACAGCAACCTCAAACTCATGAGCTTAAGTGATTCTCTTGCCTCAGCCTCTCAAGTAACTGGGACTACAGGCACCCATCACAGCACCCAGCTATTTTTTTCTTGTAGTTGTCATTGTTGTTTAGCAGGCCCGGGCTAAACCCACCAGCTCTAGGGTACGTGGCCAGTGCCCTAACCACTTAGCAACAGGCACTGAGTGGCCTCTTGAAAGTCTTCCCTGAAAAATCCCCTCTCTGGTTCACCCACCAGCAACTATCATCTACCCCTAGAGCCATGCTACCTCAGAACCTTGTATTTAACTTCAACTTGCCGCCCATATACCTGTTGTCCAAATTCTGTGATTCTCAAAATTGTTGGTGACATGATACCTCTTAAAAAGTGAAGACAGGCCAGGCATGGTGCCTCACTCCTATAATTCTAGCACTTGGAGGCCAAGACAAGCAAGATTGCCTAAGCTCAGAAGTTTAAGACTATCCTGAGCAAGAGTGAGACCCTGTCTCTAAAAATAGCTGGGCGTTGTGGTAGGTGCTTGTAGTCCCAGCTACTCAGGAGGCCGAGGCAACAAAATCTCATGATCCTAAGAGTTTGAAGTTGCCGTGAGCTATGATGCCACACAACACTCTACTGGGGGTGACAGAGCGAGACTCTGTCCCAAAAGTAAAAAAAAGTGAAGACCAGGCCAGGTGCAGTGGCTCACACCTGTAATCCTAGCACTCTGGGAGGCCACAGCGGGTGGACTGCCTGAGCTCATGGATTTGATAACCAGCTTGAGCAAGAGTGAGACCCCCATCTCTACTAAAAATAGAAAAACTTAGGCAAGAGGATTGCTTGAGAGCAAGAATTGGAGGTTGCTGTGAGCTATGATGCCACAGCTCTCTACCAAGGGAGACAGGGGGAAAAAAGTGAAGACCGAAAAATAGCTTTTGTTTATTTGCGTTATATCCGTCAGTATTTACTATAATAGAGGGTGTTGTGGCTCCTAGCACTCTGAGAGCCCAGGAGGTTTGTGT